ATAAGAATAAAGTCATTATTTAAATATACATTCAAGATATATTTTAAAACATTTTGAGAAATAAAAGATGTAATTTTACAGGAAGTTGTAATAATTTAAGAGAGTTGTAATATTACGAGAATAAAATGGAGATTTTAATTCCGTGTTGATGTAAACAGGTAACAGCAGTCTGTCTTTTATGTGTCAGATGAATGATAATGACCTAAAGTTACGACTTTATTCTTAATGGATTACAACATTTTATCTTGTAATATTTTGACTTAATTTTGGTTCTAATCACAGTCCTTAGTCTGTCGTACTTTCAAGTGCTCATGAATGAATTATTGTCTTTTGTTCAAGTATGAAGAATCTGTTAAACCTGAAAGATAAAAATATATGTTGTTTCTACCTCAGTGTCCTAATGTGACTGCAGCTAAAAGTTTAGAGGAGCTGCTCAACATGACTGTAGATTAAAGATTAATGTTGCAGAAAATAACATAAAATATCACATTTCTTGACTTTAAAAGTTGAAAAACAACTGAAAAGTATTCTGTATGGAAAACGTGTTTGTCTGTTTTCTGTTATCTACCGATATAATCACTGTCTCCAATGGGCAGGGTGGGGCACAGCTTGAGGGCCAGGTCCTCTGGAGGCTCGGTGGGTGGAGGCTCATAATCATTGGCACAGTCCTGGTCATCGTTTGGGGACTCGTAATCTCCTCCGCTGCCCTCCTCATCACCACTGTACGGACTCTCGTAGTCATCATCAAATTCTTCATCATCCTGATGGAGCGAAGGACAGGCAGAGAAATGCAACTGAATCAAAATCTGGTACCAAAAGGAACACCTCTAATACACCCTTTTACTGTTAGTAAACAGTATGATAAAAAAGGATAAGCGGTTATAGTCTCGCCACCAGACAATCAGAGCTCTCCGGCTTCCGATAGTCTGGGAACACTCCTTTCTAAAGTGTGTTTAACACACCGACGAAAACGGCCGCCAACAAAGCAATGCCTCTTGCATTTTTGAAAAGGACACGCCCTCCCAGAAATGCGCGCTCCCCCTTTTCTCATCCGTAAGGAAACAAACACACAATAGAGCTTGAAAATGGATGCCGAGAGATTTAACTCCACAACATTGTGGAAATGAAGGACTTACAGCGACTTGAGCCATTTTGTACCGCTACACATGTTTCTAGTCGGACTATGTTTATGAGCACAAGAGTTCAGCGAGCCACCAAAGGACCGCCCTGCGGATTTACTATTGGTTCTGCAACGTAGGGAGTTTTTTTAAACTCTGAAATTGTATCCGCCCATCTAAACACAAAATCAGGGAGAAAGTCATCAGTCTTTAGTTAAGCAAAGTGTCTAAAGACTGACTTGTGAGTCTAAAGCGGTTATGGAAAAGAATGAATGGATAACTAACAAGTTGGCTTGTTTTCGACGGAGGATGATGATATCAGAGCACACGTAGGCTGTTTGTAAATTCGGAGCGCTGTCAGAATGTTCTGTTTGGTTATCCAGAGAACATCAGAGCACCAAGCAGAGTAAATGTGTGATTAAGTTAACCATTCGTCTTTTCATATAGAAATATAACGCGTGTGGGTGGGGCATTAGCACAAACTGCGAGCAGCAGCAGCAGCGATCCACCGTCCGACACCAGAACACCTTGAGGAGGAAAACGCAAGGTTCGGCGGGGATGGAGCACCTGCCGCAACAAGCAACATGCTGTCTACTGTCATTTTGACTTAACCAGTGGACTTCACTACAAGCTGATTGGCTGTTGAAACAGGTGATGTCCTTTAAAACCAGCCGCCGGCCATTTGACCAGCTAAGTTGCAGGTGTCACCATCAGCCAGTGTGAGTTGAGCTCAGACTAGTCAGTTCACACTGCTGCTACTTTTGAGACTTGAAAGTCTCTTTAGCTTTTGTAACCACAAACCTTATTTATCAAACCAAAACCCACTTACTTCAAGGTGAGGGAACAGGAAGTGCTAACATGCTAACTCATTTCCAGGTTTTAAGACTCATTCCTGTACCACTCTATATTTAAGCAGTTTCTGGTGCACCTATATATATTTGGGGAGTAGTAAATAACAGTATCGTCTGCATACAGTGTGATTCTACATTGTGTCAACTTAATCTCAGATTGAGCTCATTTCTGCATTCCTGAGGTACTCTATTACAGCTGCTGTGGAAATTTTATACCACTGAAATAAAATATTGAAACAAAAACTGATACCATTAGACAACTTATTCTATTGAATTGTTTGTAACTTGTGAATAAAAATGATTTGATTACTTTCCTAATTTAAAAAACAAGATGATGAACCATCAGACTTACAAACTCGTCTTCACCCCAGCCCTGAACATCAGCAGCCACATCTGCAGAGGAGAAAGCAGCATACAGCTGAATATACTAATATCTTCACATTCATATACATTTCAACTTAAATTAAACTTTATTGATCCCCAGAGGAGAATTTCAGGACAGAAATAAGTACAGATACATAAAAAGCAACAACAACTGAGTAATAAAAAAACAAATAATCAGACATTTATAAAATTAGGTAAGAATATAACATTGAAAATAAACAAAATACCAGTACTCAGCATGAGAAATTGATTGATATATCAATGAAAGTAAAGTTCCTACCTGGTTCATGATATTTGGGCGTTGGTCTGTGACGGGAAGAAAGAGAATTGTATTATTGTTATTATTATTAAATTGGCAAAAGTTCACCTAATACTTACAAGTATTTTATTTTAAACCCTTTACTTGTGTTCCTATAATATCTAAGTCTTGACATACATGGTACAGTTTAGTAACTGCTTAAAGGGATGGCTCTAATTTTTGTATTGGGGTTGTATGGGGTATTTATCAGTTGCCAGTATATTACATACAGTACATGTCAGTCCGCACACCCCCAGTTTAGAGAAGCAGGCTGAAGACACCTAAAAAAGTCCCACCTAAAAAAATTAATATCAGCTTAAGAGTACATTATATAAAGAGTATTTTCAGTCCTTTATATTGCCGTCAGACTGCCTGTTTCAATTGGGAAGCCATAAATGACTTCAGTTCCCCATCTGTGCTCTCGTCAAAGCCACCAGACTCCACTGACAAAAACAGTGATTTTAGCTTGCTGCACAATCGATCGGCAACAGCGAGGATTTTGAATAGGCAGCAAGTAAGACTGAAGTTATTGAAAATAGGGAATAAAATGTTGAACGACTACATTTTTTTGTACAGAGTTGTATCAATGCTAATAGTTCAGTTTGCTTCCTAAATGCCTATGTGAACTGTAACGTTGCTAGCCGGTGGTGCAGCCAGTCAGACAGCTAGCACTAGCTACTGTAGCTAGCTATTAGCTGATAGGTCTCGTAACGTTTGCTGAGGCAGAGATAAGGTGCTGTCATGTTGTCATAACAGTTGCCTTTAGCTAGTAATAAATCTGTTTTGGTATTTAACGTTAGAAATAACTTGCAAACTCCTAGGTAAGGTTTTAGCAATGACTAGGTTCACTCGCCCACTGAATTGCGTCTGGTAGACATCTGGTTTGTTTATGCAATTCAATTGATGTCTGTGACTGCAGAATAACTAGTCCAACGTAATTATGTTCATATTACATAGGCTACACAGAATAGGCTGTAGGCTACACGGAAAAGAGTGTTTCTGTCTGCAAGTAGTTTGATATTGTCAATCATTTCCCTTTTATGATAGGTGGTGAGTGGAGGGTAAAAAATGGACATTCAACATTTTTTTGCCAAAGTAGCAGAAAGGAAACATCAGGAGAGACAGGGGTCTGGGGGTGAGATTAGAGTCTGACTCATATATGAGTCTGACTATATCATCTGTAGGCCAAATGCATCAGTTCAGGAAGCTGATTAAAGAAACAGATCATCTGAGCAGTAGCTCAAAACAGTATGCACGCAACTTAGTGCTGAAATTCTTTTTACTTTTGTCCATGACGATGACAAGCTAAAAATAGATATTGATAATAAAAACTGAGATGAAATCTATGTTTCATTTTTGTTAATGAGATGTGACTAAAACGTTCTTGACTATCGGACATTGAAATCAGAAAGCGGTCGTGCTTGTAATTATCTTCAGATGCAGCATGAGTGACAGGTCTGGTAAACCCCAGAAAATAGTCTGCACCGGGATGGTTTAGTAGCCAGCAGAAACAGTCAGAGAGGAGCAATGTCAGCCGTTGGTGCAAGTTGTGAGCTGTAATTCAGCAGTAAATAATCAGCCATGTGTGTCTGACTGTGGATGGTGGAGCAGCTGAATGGATGCACTCATCCATGTAAAAACAAGATGACAGCCATCTCTGCCAAGTCAGTCTGCAGCCAATCCCGACACAAAAGTGGACAAGGTCCAAAATCTGATAACATTTTTCGTTGAAAAATGTTTATTTATGATTAATAATGTTTAAAGTTTGATATGGCAAAAAATTCGACACATTTTATCAACAGTAACAAGTTAATTAGAAAGTACTGTCTGAGGACATTGGGACTTTATTATTGTCTTGTTTGAGGACATTGGGACTTAAAGGCGCTGTATGTAAGAATGTGGCCAAAACGGTTACTGCACTCAAATTCAAAATGCTGCCGCGAGTCGTGTCCGCCCCCCCTCCCCTACAGATTCGAGGTTGCTGGACAGCGGCACGCTGGAGACTGATTTGTTTGCCCACGGGCGGCTGCCATGGCAGGGCTGTGTCACTGCATCCTTGATCTTCAGTTTTCCAGCGGACCATTCGAGCAAGTCCAGCTTCTCTGCTGCTAACGCTGCTGCCGGGATACAGCTGAGGAGCCGGCTGCTAATGCTATGTACTGGGACACTGCTAATGCTGCTTGCTGGGCTGCTGTAGCTCAGTCGTAACTGTAACTGATGCTGAGACTCTACTGACTGCATGACTGGTAGACAGCTATTGTTGTTGGTGAGATCAGTATATTATATGAACATTATTCCTTAGTCTCTGTGACATATTAGGAGGATTTTACGACTATTTGCTTTAGATTTCTTACATATAGCTCCTTTAATTATCATTTACAACGTTTAATTTTTTATACTTATCAGCTCCTGCTGATCCCAAATAGCTAAGAGTTTAAAAAAAAAAATGCATACCAAACTTAAGATCAGGTCTCAGGAGAATATTAAAGCTATTTTTTTACAGCTGGAAACTACTTGACATTAAAGTGAAGCAGTGAAAATATTCTTAATATAGCGTACACTGAAACTGATATTCATGTTTTTAGGTGAGACTTTTTTTCTGGTTTCTAAAACACATTTTGTCGCTGACCCCTCCACAGCAGCAGGTTGTTTAGTTTCCATGTCAGACTCCGGCTGCTTCTCCAAACTGAGGATGTGCTGCCCACATTTACTGTATGTAATAAACTGTCTCCTGATAAATACACATACAACCCCTCTTTAAAAAACTGAACTATCCCTTTGAATTACTACAGTCTATAAATTCATACTAGATTTACATTTTATTCTTTCCTTCTGTTCTAATTTAAATATTTGAATATTTCTTTCTACATGCTGTGTGTGTTTTTAGTGCGGAGGCTGCAGCTGTATTCAACGTGTGACAAAAAAGCTAAACCTTCAACTGAATGTATTCTGCAACAAATATTTTCTCTCAGAGTTTTACATGTTATTTCAAAGACTAAATAACGAAGTACACCGAAACACAAAGATCAGTATTCTATATTTCAGAGAAAGAGAAAAAAAATTATTAACATGTTCTTACTTTTTACCAAACAGGCCTCTCTTCTCCTCCTTCTTGCTGATTTCAGTGCTGATCTTAGAGATCATCCTGAGGAGACACAGACACATAAAGTTTATCCAAACTGTTCTTCATCAGTAATGATGTGATGAGCTGCTCCAGCCACTTTTCACTTTTGGATTTATCAGTTAAGTCAAACACTCTGCTGTTTATTCCTGTCTGTATTCGGAAGGTTTTTAGAGAGAAGTTTTAACTAAAGACTGATTTATAAAACATTTATTCCTAAAAAACACTGAGAAAATGTTTTTTTGTTTGTTTGTTTGTTTGTTTGTTTTTTCGTAGCTGTTGACAGTATTTTCTAAAAAACAGATCCAAATCCACTGTGTAAAAACATTTGACAAAGTAAAACAAGTATTTTGAACCTGGTTTTATCCACTGTTCAGATTTCTGTTCTGGAAATTCTGCCAAATCAGCGCATATTTAATAAGATAATGCTTCATTTGCATATTCAAACATAAAATTTAAGAAAACTTGTGATGTAAAAAAGAATTGTCTAAATGTAAAAAATGAACTGAGGAAGTTAAGTGGTGATATCTATCCAGCTTATTCCTGAGGGCACTACTATAGTTTAAATGTTCTAAACATCATAACACATCAGAAATGTTCTTGCTTACAGGACATTTTGTAACGCACATTTGACTCATTCAGACATTATATTTTTACATGTTAACACTATCCCCGTCATTGCCAAGATTATCTGTTATTTATGAAAGAACGCTTCCCCGCCATTAGCAAGATATTCTAGCAATCCGTGTTTTTTTACTGTTATAGGTAGGGGACGCTGTTAAACATCTTGTGACATTGAAGAGCACTGCTGTGTCCAAAAACAAACAAAAAGGAAGATCCGGTGGAAACCAGAAGATGATGTTTACAGAAATGTAGTTGCTTGTAAACCCTCCCAAAATGACAGTGTCAACGGAAAAGTTTACGGTTGTATCAAGCGGTGGAGATGTTGATGGACTCAGACTCTGACACTTCCTGTTTTGATCAACATTCTGAATCTGATTTGGAGGAAGAAGCAAATGAGTTTGGTGGGACGAAACGGGATCTCCATGATGGTGACAGTGACACACGGACAAGACAACCACAGAGGAGACAAAGACAACAGAACACTGAATGTGACAACATGTTCCACTATACCTCAAAGAGAATGTTAGTTTCATTATTATTATTATTATATTACTGTTACTATTAATATTATCATCAATATTATTATTACTGCTATTATTATTGTTGTTTTTATTAGTATTGTTATCGGAACAATAATAATAATTACTTTTATTGTTATTTATACAGTTCAAATTGACGTGAGGAAATGAGAAAAAAAAACAACAAATGTAAATGTGAAATTTATTTTTAATTTAAAAATGCGTGTCTTTGAAAAAAATAAATTTTTCTCAGTTTTTTGTCCGAATTTTTTATTTATTTTTTTAAGTTTTTTTTTTATGAAAATACACAAATTCAAGTGTTTATAAAAAAGTAATGGAATAAAACAGAATAAAATGTTTTTGTGTATAAAAACAGAGGGTCTTTTTTTTAGTTTCATGTATATACTGATTACATATTCAAAGAACAAATTATTCTGTGGGTCGTGAAAGATCAGTGAATATGATCAAAAATGTTAAAAATGATGAAATATTAATAATAAATATGTATAATAAATAAAGATATACATATATATAATAAAAATATATAATACTACAATAAATACGTTTATTTGTGTGTTTATGGATTGAAACTTTGCTATGGTTTCTTCTGGTGTTTTAATTAAGAATTAGTGTTATTAGTGTTTGATATATCAGTCCCATCTCCACAGACCGACGTCCGCAGCTCCACGCAGACACCTGTGGGAGTGTTTCGGTAACAGTGACTCAGCAGCTGCTCTGTACTCACGGAGCGTGAAGTTTGGGGAATTTCTGGAGGTCGTTCTCACTCAGGTTCTACAAAACAAGAGAAGACAGTGTGAGGATGTGAGGACATTGTGAGGACGTTGAGGTCAACAGGACAAAACAGGACTTTTATCCTTATCAGGACATTTTAGTCTTATTGAGGACAAAAACAGCTTAAATATGTCTCGGAGAAGATGAGGAGGCAAAGAGGACATTCTTCTTCTTCCCTTACCTCCTCCTTTCCTCCCCTTCATCCTTTTGTCCTTCTCCACCTCATCCTTTCCTTATACCCTTCTCCACTTTCTCTTTATCTCCTTCTCCTCTTTCCTTCCTTTTATACCATCTTCTTGCTCCCTCCTTTCCTTTCTTACATCCTTCTGTCCTTCTCTATCTGCTCCTTCCCTTATATCTTTCTCCTCCTTCTCCTTACCTCGTCCTCCACCTCTTCCATTCCTTTTCTACCATCTCCTTACTTCATCCTTTCTTCCCCTACAGCCTTCTGTCCTTCTCCACCTCCTCCTTTCCTTATAACCTTCTCCACTTTCTTTTAAACTTTCTCCTCCACCTCTTGTCCCTATTTGACAATCCCTTTACCTTCTTTGTTTATTCCCTACATACCTCCCACATCCTTCTCCATCTCCTCCTTTCATTTTAACCTTTTCAACCTCTTCTTTACCTCCTCCTTGATATCTTTTCTACCATCTCCTTACCTCCTCATTACCTTCCCTACATCCTTCTGTCCTTCCTTACCTCCTCCTTTCCTTTTAACCTTCTCCACCTTGTCTTTACCTCCTCCACCATCTCTTTCCTTCCTTCTCTACCATCACCTTACTTCCTACTTTCCTTCCCTACATCCTTCTGTCCTCCTCTGACATATTCTTTCCCTCCTCACCCCCTCTTTCCTTCTTCCTTCCCTCCTCCTCTATGTCCTCCTCCCATCTTCTCTCACCCTCCCTTTTCAACATCTCCTTACCTCCTCCTTCCTCTCAAACTCTTGACTCCTCCACCCCCTCCTTTACCTCCTCTTGTCTTTCCTTGCCTCCATCTTATCACCTCCTCTCAGCTGACAGGACAATTTCATTAAAGGTTTGTAAATTTAAAGGAACTCACCACAAATCTGGAGCCGCTGATGGAGTGCTTCAGCACCACCTTATCACAGCCAGACAGACTCATCTGCAAACACACATCACAGACATCAGTGACGTAGTTCACACAGTGTCAGTGCAGGTGGAGGCAGCCGGAGCTGAACCCACAACCTCAGTGACATCATCTCAACAAGTCCTCCAACCCCAATGAGCACAGAGGGCATTTGTCTCTACGCTCTGATACAACCCACAGGAGTGTTTCCTCAGGTTGGCACCAGCACAGTTTAGGACAAGAATCATGTTTGCTGCAGAAACTTAAGTCAGTAACCGAAGTTTGATTTCCTCATATGTGTCCTGATGATGCAGGATGACAAACATCAAAACTGTCCAATCAGTGAGTTACCTGTCAGTCGGCAGAGCTTCATGTTTACTCCTCTTGGTTAGTTTGTCAGTGTGAACAGAAACTGAGAAAGCTGTGACAAAATTGCTCTTGATTGGTCAGAATTTCTATGTGTGAAAAATCCAGGAAATAAACCAAACGTTGAAGAAGAGTACACTTGCAAGATAAATGTGACACTTTCTAATGTCACAATGGAGGGGCAACTACGCAGGTTGATTTTAGCGCTGCTCATCATGGACTATATTGCTGTCATTGTTCATTTAAGTCAAACCATACAGTTTGAAAACGAGGAGCAGCTCCAACTAAAAAACAATGTTTTGATGCATTGGATGTGCTGAATGTGCATATTAAGGCAGTACAGGAGGAGGTGCACATTAATAATCCTCCAGGACTGTAACATGCTCATGTTTAATCCAAACAATGTGTCATGTGACTGCAGTTGGTTCAGATCCAGGTCGGAACACGTTCTCACCACAAACCAACCGCACCAGAGTTCATTTGTAACCAAACTAAGACCACCTCTTCAAGAAGGTCTTGGTCGAGCTCAGTCTCACTCCGAAGTCGTTGAAATCTGGCACTTGGACAGTGACTTGCGGCGTCAGAAACCAATGAAAAAGGTGTCCTTTAACGTCAGCATGATACGTGGCTGGTTGTCGTTATAGTTTAATGGCGCCTGGCAGCGTCAGGTGGAAATTCGGTGGGACAAAGACATAAGTTACGGCGGTAAAAGTCCAACTGGGGCAGGCAGGAGGGGTGATGGATAGGTCCAACAAGCATTGACTTTCATTCGAGAGAGCGATGTTTGCGTCCTGTAAGATTATAAAGCCAAACCCTGTTCTTTTTGTCCTAAACCTAACCATATGCTTTTGTTGCTGAAGGAAAAAAATGTCAATTTGCGGTGATGCCGATGTAGTGCTTTTATTTTGAAAGAGACTGTATGTAAATGTTAAATTTCCTGTGAAAACAGAAGTGTATTTTGAAAACAGACAATGCATGTAACAGGCTGAAGTTGACACGGCGTCCTAGAACGTCAACAACCAACACACCCAGGGTACCTTGGACGTCATATGTGGACGTGGAAAGTCCACAACCAAATATCAGTATATGACAAGGTCAGAGTGAGAGTGTGTTGGTGGTGCGCCTTCTTGCAACCTACAATGCTTTCTGTGTGATCAAGGCCGTGGTCTGTATCAATATGATATTCTTGTGTCTGTTAACTGGGTGTAAACCAGTTTATACTGGAAGGTGACACAGCTAATAAGCTACAATAGTTTCCTTCATTTTGGATTTTCCAGCTCTCCGTCCACTCAGAGGTCAGCTCTGTCAGGACGGCTTGTTGCTGGTCAACAGTGTGAGTTTGTGAGTCAGAGTTGGATTTGATGTACAGACTCACACAGATGAATCAGCTGACTGCAGTGACTGCATCAAAATAAACTGATTTAAACACAAATTGTAATTTTACTGCAAGTTTCAAGTGTCACTGAAACAATGTCTGTGCACAGGAATATAAAGAGAGCATGGTCGGAGGTCTCACCCTCTTCAGGTAGTCTGCCAGCTGCTGTGGGCTCCACCCCGTCACCTCCGCCCTGGACGGCACTCGACCAGAGCTCATCCTGTGTCCTCAACGTAAAGTCAAACCAAAGACCGTTAACGAGAGGAGACCATCTGAGTGGATCACCTAAAGACAAGTCTTTTATTTCCCAGTCCTGCTGCTCTTCTTCAGTCAGAGGTTTACAGGCCTCACTCCCTCCTCTGCCGCTCTTTCCTGCGAAACGCAAAACCAAACTTTTCTTGATGATTCTCAGAAAATCAAATAACTGCCACAAAGTTTTACTTCCTCAAAAAAATTGACCTGCCGCTTTCTGTGTCTGCAAGGGTCTTTCCACGAGCAGAAACCAGAGAGAAGAAAGCAGAAAGCAGGCGGACATGTCACTGAGGAACCAAAATGGCTTCCTTCTTTCTCTCTCTCTCTCGCTCCCACTCTTTCTGTGTCTACGTCTCTCTATCTCTTTGCCTCTCTTTCCTCCTCCCCCTCCCTCCCTCCCTCCATCTCAGAGGAAGTGACTGTGCAGAGGGGGGGATGAAGGCAACATCCTCCTCCTCCCCCAGTCTGACCACAGAGCGGAACAGATGCTGCAGTTGCACCCACTCGATGCAGCTGAAAAGAAACATGACGACGACGCACTGTTTAAAAAAAACACCAGAAGAAGAAGGAAATGACAGACTCTGGATCAGTTTCATAGTTCAGTCTGAGCGTCTGCATCGTAACATCCTTTAAAGACTGAAACCATGGCGACATTTGACAGATGGTGGAAAGTAACTAAGTACTTGTACTTGAGTCATTCTTCGTCTGCTGCGCCACATTTATCTGACAGCTCCAGTAACTTTACTAATATAACATGACGAGTTTATAACCAGCTGCAAAAAAAAACACATTAAGTTTTCTCCTTATGTATGACACTTAAGGCTTAATTTCTCCTTAGCTGAGAGACTTACACAGTTGCATAGAATCTCTTAAAAGGTTTCCTTATTGAAGGACACACGTTAACTTATTTACTGACATCATTAGAGAACACAATGTCTGTTTCCATAGTTATGCGGATGACATGCAACTGTACATCTCAGCTGAACCAAACGATGCCGCAGCCATGAACTCCATCGCTACCTGTGTTTTGGGAACAAATAAATGGATGAGCAAAAATTTCTTAAAGTTAAATGAACATAAAACTGAAATGTTACATGAAAACTTACGTACTTAATGTTAAGTTATGTAGGTTAGGTAAGTAAAGTTAAGTTACACAGATTGGGTTTAGGAAAGTAAAGTTAAGTACTTAACGTAAAGTTATGTACTTATTGTACAGGAACTAAGAAACAAGATCATATTTCTCCTGTTTTAGCTTCTCTGCACTGGCTCCCTGTAAAATCCAGAATTGAATTTAAAATCCTACTGTTAACTCATAAAGCTCTAAATGGTCAGGCTCTGTCATATCTTAGACAGCTCATAGTGCCATATTATCCCACCAGAACACTGCGCTCTGAGAATGTAGGGTTACTTGTGTTCCCTAAAGTCTCCAAAAGTAGATCAGGAGCCAGAGCCTTCAGCTATCAGGCTCCTCTCCTGTGGAATCATCTTCCTGTTGCGGTCCGGGAGGCAGACACCATCTCCACATTTAAGACTAGACTTATGACTTTCCTCTTTGACAAAGCTTATAGTTAGGGCAGGCTCAGGCTTGCCTTGTACCAGCCCCTAGTTAGGCTGACTTAGGCCTAGTCTGCCGGGGGACTTCCTATAATACACCAAGCACCTTCTCTCTCTCTCTCTCTCTCTCTCTCTCTCTCTCTCTCCCTTGCTAACACTCATGTCCTGTTACTGCATCTTGCTAACTCGGCCATTCTGGATGTCACTAACTCGGCTTCTTCTCCAGAGCCTTTGTGCTCCACTGTCTTGCAGGTTAACTTATATCACAGTGGTGCCTGGATGGTGTGACGTGTGTGGTTGTGCTGCTGCTGTGGTCCTGCCAGATGCCTCCTGCTGCTGTTATCATTAGTCATACTTCTACTGTTATTATACACATGATTATTGTCAAATATATATACTATAGACAGATATTAATATATACGTTCAACATATTGTACCACAATAGCCGTAATTAGAATTATAATATTATTACTTTCATTAATGTTGTTGTAAGCTACTGTTATTACCGTCTGTCCTGCATCTCTCTCTGTCTCTGTCTCTCTCTCTGTCTCTCTCTCTGTCTCATTGTGTCATATGGATTACTGTAAATTTATTATGTTGATCTGTTCTGTACGACATCTATTGCACGTCTGTCCGTCCTGGAAGGATTAGAAAGAGGGATCCCTCCTCAGTTGCTGTTCCTGAGGTTTCTACCATTTTTTCCTCCGTTAAAGGGGTTTTTCGGGAGTTTTTCCTGATCAGCTGTGAGGGTCATAAGGACAGAGGGATGACGTATGCTGTAAAGCCCTGTGAGGCAAATTATGATTTGTGATATTGGGCTTTATAAATAAAATTGATTGAAATTGATTGATCATAAAGTTATGTACTTAACGTAAAGTTATGCACTAAGTGTAAAGTTACATAGGTTAGGTTTACGAAGAGAAACATGACCAGGTGTCATGATGTGATATGCTTAACGTAAAGTCACAAGCTTATTGCAAAGTTACATAGGTTAGATTGAAAACGTAAAGTTATGTAGCTTAAGTAAGAAAAGTAAAGTTACATAGATTGGGTTTAAGAAAGTAATGTACCAAACAAAGGTTGGAAACAAAGTTGCGAAGGCCAGGTAAGAAATGTAAAGTTACGTAGATTAGATTAGAAACGTAAAGTTATATAGGTTAGGTTAGAAACAGAAAGTTACATAGGTCAGGTTAGAAACGTAAAGTTACCCAGGTTAGGTTAGAAACATGAAGTTACCTAGGCTAGACGAGAAATGAAAAGTTACATAAGTTAGGTTAGAAATGTAAAAGTAGGTAGGTAAGGTATAGGAAACTGAAGTAACGTACTTTACGTAAAGTTATGTAGGTTAGCCTTTGAAAAGTAAGTTACATAGATTAGGGAAGAAAAGTAAAGTTACCTATGTACGGTTTCGGAAAAAAAAACATGGTTGGTTGTCCCCATGTTATCTACGTTAAATCAAGTACTGAAGGTAAAGTTACATAGGTTAGGTTAAAAACGTAAAGTTACGTAGGTTAGGTTAGAAACATGAAGTTACGTAGTACTTTTGGCAATAAATAAATGGATGAGCAATCATTTCTTAAAGTTAAATGAAGACAAAACTGAAATATCACATAAAAAGTTACGTACCTGCGTGTCGGCCCTAAAACAAAAAAAGAAATGCTGCTTAATAATCAGGTTAATTTAACTCCCTGATTCAAATCCGATGTGACGAGTCTCAGTGTGATCCTCGATTCAGATCTAAGCTTCAAGTCCCACATTAACAAGGTGATGAAAACATTTTTCCAACTCAGAAACATTGCTAAGGTATGAGCATGTCAAACTGAAAAAGATGAAGAGGAATTGGTTCATACTTTTATTTCAAGGTTACGCAACTACTGTAATGCACTTTTTACTGATAGACCTCAGCTGATTGAAAACTCTGCAGCTAGACTATGAACCAGAACCAAGAGGAAAGAACACATCAGGCCAGTCTGAGCTGCTCTGCGCTGACTTCCTGTTACATTTACGATTGATTTTAAGCTCCTCCTACTTGTATACAAAGCTCTAAATGGGCTGGGACCGAGCTACATCGCTAACTCCCTTGTTAACTATTTGTCTCCAAGAACACTGTGATCATCTGCTGCTGGTTTATTGGAAGAAGATCAGGGACGCAGCTTTTGTCAGTGACGCCCCAAAGCTATGGAACACACTACCTATATATATCAAAGAAGCTGCTCGCTAAATATTTTTAAAAGAAAGTTAAAGACATTTCTGATCACTTTAGACTTTAACTCGCTATGCCTTTACTGACACAGGTCTGTTTTATATCCATTATGTCTATTTTCATGTGAAGCACTCAGAGCTTATACTGTCCTTATTGTAAAGCCCTTCTTCCTCTTTCTCTTATTATTATCATTGTTATTATTACTACATTGAAAGAGATTTTACAGCAGTACAAGTTTCCATAGAGATTGTTTGTTTGCTTGGACTCAGGCTTGTGGCGGCAGTTATTGTCTCACAAAGCTGGCTCATATTTAGATAGTGAAAAAAATGTCAGATGAGAAGAAGATAAGAAAACCATACTGGTCAGAGGAGGAAGAGATTAAACTTCTGGAAGAATACAATCATACAGAGAACAAACTACAAAATAAATTTGATCCCCAGAGAACAGAAAACGATTGTTGGAAGAAACAACAATTATTAATTCAATCAAATCTAGTGTAAAGTGTAAAATTAAAAGTGTATCCATTGGGTTCTCCTGGTCGCAGAACACTCTTCTCTGGCATGTTAGTTTTTTCATTTATCACCATAAACTCCATCATGTTGCAGTTAAGACAGAGTCAGAGGAATCGTAGGTATTTTTACCCTGCTTTAGTTGCTAAGGTCTTTCATTCAACGGTTTAAGGATTCCTTAAGTATAAAACAAGATAAGGAGAAAACCATAAATACTTAACTGTACATTTTAAGGAACCCTTAAGGAGAAGACTTAGAGTGTTTTGTGCAACCAATTTCATAATTAGTAAACCTTAACTAGGACTTTATGAAAAAAATCTTAACTTAAGTTGTTTTGTGCGACTGGCCCCTGATGGTTCATCATAATATCTGACTGTTGGTTGGACAAAACAAACACTGTGAAGGTGTCACTTTAGACTCAGGGTTATTGTGACATCATAACCTTGTTGTGAGCAGGAACCAATTTCTTTTCACGAAGTACACCTGTCAACCATATCACCGCGCAGAAGGAAGCGTGCATCTACTGCTAGCTCACCTAGCATCCCTGCGCTAGCTAACGTTGCAGCTTAGCCGAAGAGGATGCCATTAGTGTTTACATCTCCCACTGTCACGAGCACGAGCCTCTCATTCATGAGTATACGCTTCCTTCTGCACAGTGATTCAGTTAGTGAGTGTAATTTGGTAGAAAGAAAATAGTTCTGACATGAAGCAGGGTAATGTCCCCCACACTTCCCGTATCTGTGCCCTCCATCCTCTGCACTTTTTTACAGCCATTATAACTGTTCAATTTTTAACATGTGGTAATGTGTTTTTCTGAGCCGTCTTTAAATGCATCATGAGTAGGCAGACACAGCTCTCATGTTGTGATCAGAATCAATCGCACACAGACCAGAGGTGTTCTACTGGGCAGTGCCTCTATGTTAACTATGTTCAGCAAAGCAGCCAGCAAGAAGAAAAAATCCTTGCACAGTTTCTTCCAAACAAACCGTGTAAGTTGAGTAATGCTGTTGCATGTAGATAATAGATAAATGATGACTAATTAATAGATGCCAATATATCAAGTTAAG